AAAAAAAAAAAAAAAAAAAAAAAAAAAAAAAAAAAAAAAAAAAAAAAAAACCGTTTGAACACCAAATTGCCACGTCTAACGCTAGTGAAACGTAACATTGTTAGCTGTTAATAATAATTACTTAGTATGTTTTTGATTTGTGCTAGATAATGTAGAGTAACTCAATGTTTTAATAAAAAGAGGAAAGATTCCATACTTACAGAGTTTGAGTATTATTTGGGATTCCATGTGGTAAACTTGACAAGGACAACCCAGAGCAATCTACAATTAAACGACCCTCGATTGTCGTACATGCGCACCTGCCACCTTCCTCGGCGCAAGCATCTTGCGCATTAATACCAACTGCACAATATGTTAAAAATGCAAAAACTAAAATGTGTTTCATATCTAAGACACGCTACTAGCCACTCCAGTAAATATCAGTTTGCTCTTGTAGGCATACAAGAAATTTAAAAAAAAGTTCGGTGCGGAAGATGTGCGTGCGCAGACCTTCTATCGTTCTGCGAGTTGACAACGTGCACGTGAAAATTTCAAAATGTTGGTTACAGTAATGTCCGAATAAACTATCTGCAAAAGAACAAAAAAAGTACAATATTTTAAGTTTTCATATAAAATACATACACTTTTATTGTTATTAATTATAAATGTATAATTTGAATGTATTTCTAATTAAATATAATTATTTATGCACAAACGAAAATTTACAGTAACTTTTAAGACTGAGACCCATTGCTTCAATTGTCATTAGGAGAATAATATATGTAGAGAGTTCAAACAGAGACATTTATATGACCGGAAAGTGGGGATTGTTGCTGATTGGTGGCAAACAAAACAATAACTGAGACATCTCTGCAGATACAGGTCTCTCTCCAAATTAATACGACCTCCAATTAAAGACCACTTTGCTGTGGTCTCAAATTAACAAATGTCTTTCATCTTTATTATTCTAATCAGAGACCAAAGCTTCTAAAGACCATGGAAACCTCTGTCCCAATAATGGTCTTTAAATGGAGGGAAACTTAAATTATATTTTCCTGATGACCATTGAAGCAACTCAATCGAAACTCAACTCATTCTCATTTTTTTTTCAGAACTATCTTACTGCAAGCATTCAATATATAAGATTATTAATAATATTATATAATCCATTGGTTTATTAACGATTAAAACAGTTCTACAATAGTAATATTATATGTTTTTCATTGTAATCATACCACCAATAATATGTTTACACATATTAATAATCTACGAGTGAATCTTTCCTAGACTATCATTTTTTTTAAATTTTCACCTCTCATGTTATAGGGCCTACTACCTGTCTGCTTTACCGACCTACCTGAGCTTGAAAAACTCTTTGTAGAAACAAAATCGCCTGATATATCTTATAAGCGTTATGAATCATACTTACTTTGATAAAGTAACCGAATGCGTCATTACATCATAACCAAATTGTTTAGAATATCAAGAAATCGATACAACACACGACACTGTTTGTTAGAAATCGCAGTTCAGTTAACCTACGATTATATATCGACGAAATTAACTAGTTTTCCGAAGCTATTGGGCCTACGCACAGCAATTATCTTCGAACGCAACAATATAATAGAGGGCGGATAAATGTTATAAGTATTGAAATTGATAAGACTGAGACGGTTCGCTATGGGAGAATAATTGAAGTATATGAGCCGACGCTGAGGAAATGAAAGGGTTTTATCTGGAGCATTCTCACACGTGTTGCTAACAATATGAACAAATCAATATTTTAAATTCCGTCATTGTTTTGAAATAGGCCTATGGCCCTAGTTATAATATACGCCTAACGTAGGGAAAATACAGTCGGTGTTG